TAGGAAATCTTCACTTTATGGACGGAATATTAAATAAACATGTTTAAATAGACATTTTGAGAACAAATTTAAAAAAAAAATGGAAAAGCTGGAGCTAAGAAACTAATTTTGTTGTTATCAGGATAATGACCACAAACACTCTGCACTGTTAGTTAAGGCATGGCTACTTTATAACTGCCCCAAAGTTATTAAAACACCACCACAGTCATCAGATCTTGATGTAATAGAATAACAGCGGGCAAAATTGAAATTAAAAATTAAAAAAAAAAGAAATTTCTAGCAAAGAAGACTTAAGAAATATCTCTTCAAAAAATGGAACAGGCTTAAGTCCAGGATTTGCCAAAAAAGAGGTTCACTCAATTACAAATAGACTGAATGAAATGGTAGAAAATGATGACTTACCTACAAGGTATTGAACTAAATTAATAATATTTAAGAGTTAATAAGAAATGAGGTGTATCATTTTGGCTGAAGTAAACTTATTCAGTTTTTTTTTGTTAATCGTTTTTAAATTATCACAGTTGAATATTTTAATTTTATTCAGTTTATACATATTATATATGTATTTCATCTTTTTGATGCGATCTATTTTGGCATTCATTGTCGTGTAGAGGATTCCATATGAATTGCTCCGAGCTACATCCCCTCTCCCATCTCAATCTCCTTGCCTTTATGTCATGAGATATTGATAAAACATTTTCTGTGAGCATTCTGTTATTGTTCTTTCTTTTCTATGCGTTAGTATTCTGATTCCTCAGAATCTTAATATCGTTCGGAGAATGTTCCTCTCAAAGCATTCAATACTTTCTTCTAGGGTACAGTAATGTGTCCAAGTCTAATATCAGATATCAGATTAAGCCAGTAATAGTATTTTTCACCCTTAAATTGAAATTCCTCGAAATTGTAAGAAAGTTCAGTAACTTTGAAAGCGATAGGAATACTTGTTATAGGCTTATTTCTTTCTGTATTTGAATTTATCTACTCTAAACAGCGATTTTCCTTCCTTTCAAACATTCTCAAAACCATAGTCATATTCTGGAGTTTCTAAAACCGATTAAAAAATGCACCCCTACCACTTCGATGTTGTGGTTAAGTCTATTACTTTGTAAAAAAAAAAAAAAATACGACTAAAATACTTGGAAAACATGCATATTAACCAAAAATCAAAATTAATAATTTGCTTTATGTTGAAATAAGGTTAGGTTGAGAATATAGCGCCCCCTTGCGAGCCTTCCTGTCATTGCGGTGTGAAGGAACATCTCAGCCAGTAACGAGATCATTAGTGACTCGTTCGCTCGGATTTGAAAAGCTGTCACTATCAACTCCATTCCCTATCTTATCCCTAAACCTATTGCGTTTTATTCCGATTCTTGTTATATAATATCGAATAGATGTTTTTTTAACCGACTTATAAAAATTAAGATCCAAAATCCTCCGTATATTCCTCAATGCTCCTTGCTTTGGTAAAAATAAAATCATCCATAACGACTTTAATGTACCTTATGTTTCAAATCTAGATAACTATCCTTCCATAATAAATTTCGGAACCATCCCAACCCTCACGCAGCTAACCATGCTTCCTCTTTGTTTCCTGATCAAACCCACCAAGGTGCCTAAAAAGATTATGGCCTCATAAGTGTGCTACCAGTGGATAGTTTCTCAACAATCGTTTTCGTGTCACTCTATTCATTGTTCACATTTGCTAGATGTAGTTGTTTTTTTTCTTAATACGGTTCTAAATATCATGAATTTAAAAAAAAAAAAAAAAAGGAAGTTTTCAATGCGACTTCTGTTTATGCGAAAATAGTTCCAAATTTCCTCGTTATGGAGAGTGGGGGGAGGGAAGATCAGAAAATCTACAAGATAACCCTTAATCCTTACTAGCGACGGAGCACTCAGCCTCAGACACGGCACAGATAGTCAGGTAACAAAGAGATGTTTTAAGCCTGCATGAAAAGCAGGTAAGCTGTTTTTGCACAATTCGTATAACCTAACAATTCATTAAAATACAGTCCACTGCATGAAAGTAGAATGTTGCACTTAGTTTTGAAAGTTTTCCTAAACAATTCCTTTTTAAGCGCCGTAAAAAAAATTATTATCAATCCGACTTATGTATGTTCTCTCATAACTTCGTGACTCTTGAATGGATATCCATGAATATTTATTGTTAATGGATTTTGCGCCATGCAACTTCTATCTGTTTTCCAAGGTGAAATCTGCATTAAAAAGAACATATTTGAGTCTCTTGAAACTGCGAAAGAGTAAATGTCCTGAAGAAGCTGACAGTAGAAGACTTCGAACACTGTTTAAGACAATGGAAGATTCACATGAAGCGTCGTGGGCTTGGAGGAGGGGTGTATATTTAAGGCGATACGATAAGCATGGGCGGATCTACGGGGGGTCTTTGGGGCTGAAGTCTCCCCTCCCCCAAATGGTAAAATATAACCATGTTTTATGGAAAAAAAATATTTAAAAATTAATTCAATATCAATATCAAAACATTATCTTTTAAAGTATTATTGTTCGTGCAATTACATTTAAAAGATCTTTAGGAATCACTTAAACACCATTTCATGTAAGTAGTTAGTTTCTTTCTTTTTCTTATTGGTCGAACAATTAAAGTGCCATTCATGGACATTAACGTATATTCCTGTAATTTGACCTGGAGAGGGATATGGTGGAGGGATATATCCTTTCAGGATCGGGACTGACAAAGAAAACTATGAATCACATAACATCAAGTGTTCTCAAGGGATCGAACTTGAATTATTACGGTTGGCATAAATTGTTACCCCGTTGAAAATGATAAGAAATAATGTATGGGTTATTTTTTAGTTGTATAATCTTATATTCATCACCCCTAATCTGAATTTTTTTTATTTATTTATTTTTTTTTGTTTTTTTTTAGAAACTTTTATGTTGTAATAATTTAGATTTTAATCCAATTTAATATAAAACGTTCAATATTGAATCCCACTTGTGCTTAAATAAGATATATTACCGAAAAAAAAAAATATGTTTATGCTATTAACTATGTATTATTCTATGAATATTGTGGATGTGTATGGGGCTGTAAGTAGGTATGCATATAAGTGTATGTATGAGTGGGCGTGAGTGTGACTCTGTGTATGTATGCGTGTCCATTTATTTTTTTTTATAATTTTTTTTTCTGTTTATCAAGTAAATTTAACCAATTGATTGAAAGTTTTATTTTTATTCAATTTTGCATATATTGGGTCAGTATATATATTTAAAATATTTATGACGCAGCAAGTTATTGTATAAATATCTGCATAGCTTTTGACGAAAATCTTAATGCTTGTGAGACCTGGGGACACTAACCCAGAATTTATCTTTATTTTTTTTTTATTTTGTTTTGTTTTTATTTTTATTGTTTAATCTTAGTTTTTTTTTCTTTTATGGTGAAGGTAGCACCATGTTAAGGTAAATGGAATTGCGAATAAGAAAATTTTGTAAGTAAAGGAAAAGAAAAAAAAAAAAAGCATGTATTTTCTGCCAAATAAATGAATATATTTCCAAAGAAATTATCGTTATTTTTATGAGAAAAAAATCTTTCGGGCTTCAAGCCCCTCCCCCAAAAAAATTAAATCCTGGATCCTCTAGTGACGATAAGTAAATATCTATGAAATCAACACAAAATATTTTACCGCTTCAGTTTCGTTATTTAGTAGCCATATTTTGTATAGTAAAGGAGTGTGGTATCGATCCTTGAAATACCCAATGCCAGATGTATGGACCACTCAGATATCATTTCTTTTCTTTTTTCTCTCTTTTCCTCTTTCATTCTTTTATACTGAAGTGCCCTTCTTTCCTATGTCCATTTTCTGCCGGTGTGGTTTTTTTTTCTTGTTTCTCACAAGAACATTTAGTTTATTTTCTAAATTCTTCCCTGTACGTGTAGTCTTCATAGGTAATTTTTAGAGTTCTTCCCTTGTTTAAAAATTGTTTGTTGATCCTAATAGGATTCGTCCTAATCATGTTTTTTTAGAATCTCAGCCTACTTTTCTTTATTGATAAATTTTCGCAATAAATAATTTTTTTTTCTTTGCAAATACCTAATTCATTGTCTGGATTTAACGAGACGTAAAGTTACGTCAGTAAGACTGAATTGATATGTTCCGACTAATCTACTATCTCTTTTATTCGTCTGGGTCATTGACATTATGTAAGTGCGGAGTTCTTATACATAGAGTGTCCCGTAAGTAGAGAGATATATTTATAGAAGTTAGAGTTGATCTCAGGACATACACAAAAATTTATGTAAACATTGATCCGATTTTTTGCAGAAAAATAGGAAATTTTGTGTTTTTTAATAAAGCATGTCTTTTGTTGAATGAGAAGCGATAACTAATGTTTAATTTAAATAATTAACCTAAGGCCTATTTGTACTTACGGAGTTGAACTATGGGGCTCCACTAAACCATCGAATTCCTCTCGTATCCAATCCAAAATCCTTCGTAAAATCCTCAATGCTCCCTACTTTGTTACAAACAAACCATCCATAATGACCTTAATGTTTCTTATGTTTCAGATCTGGATTAATCCAGATACCTATCCTTCTACAATAAACTTCAGAATCATCCCAACCCTCTCGTTTCTAACCTTGCTTCAATTCCTGATAACCCTCCTAGGCTGTTAAGAAGATGGCCCCGTGATCTCCTAATGTAGACATATCATTAGAGTGCTACCATTGGATAGTTACTCAGCAAGTGTTTTCATGTCATTATGTCCATCATGTTCAAATTTACTAGATGTATTTATTTAATACAGTTGTAAATGTCATTAAGAAATTTTTAAAAAAACACACAAAACCTAAATTTCTTTGTTTTCTGCTGAAAATCTGACTGTTGCTTAATTAAAAATTTTTGTTGCACTTGAGGTCTGCTGCCATTCCCATAAATATTTCTCTCTACCTACAGGTCATCCTATATGCTACACATTGCATCTTGCCAACTCTATCTTATTAATATCCATTCCAGGTAGAAACGAAAGGACTCAGCGGACCGATAGAGTTCAAAGAAGGACGGAGGATCGGGTTCAAGCTGGACGTGGTGAAGTTGAAGCAGCACTCGGTGGTCAAAGTAGGTGAATGGACTCCTACTGGTGGACTCAACATCTCCGACACTGGGGCATTCTTCGACTCAACTTCACTCAACGTAACGCTAGTCGTCATCACGATATTGGTGAGTATTCCATTCTTTAGAGGTTGATTCATCATCAATATTTAGAGATTTTAATAATAATAATAATAATTCTTTAACAGTTCCATACTTATCCCTGTTGAATAAACCTGATAGCTCATAGGATAATAGCTGATAGGACTCCAGCTGGACAAAAGTCTCACATGAAATCCTCATACAAGACTGGAACATTAAGAAACCGCTCGACATTTCTGACTACTTCATAGTGTTCTCCAAATTCGAGACCGAAACAAGTTTTGGTCCTGCAAACTCAGTCTTGGTCATTGTCTTGGTCTTGGTCTTGCGCAAGAGTTACTTATTAACTTATTACTCTAGAGATATTACTGTAATTTTTTAGATAGGAGAAACCTAATTAAGCCTAAATGAAAAATTTAAGCAGTTAAATGCAAAAGTATATTGGTTATACCAATTATTAACATATAGTAACTAATATTGTCAAGTATTAGTAACTATTTTTGTAATAGTTGTAAAATAGTTTTAATAGTATAAAAATCGATTTTTTTTTTATCAGTCCTGGTCTTGGTCTTGCAACAGTTAGGCGGCATTGGTCTTGGTCTTGCACAGTGCAGGACCAAGACCGATTTTGGGCAACACTACCTGATAGGTCATATGATTTTAGCTGATAGGTCTCCACCTGGACAAAAGTCTAACTTGGACGTCGACTACTCCAGCACTTACTAGACACACGCTGTAAGCTTCCAATTCCAAAAACTCATGAGGCTTTCAATTAACAGAATGACAGAATTCTAATTTCAACATTTTTTATTATTAATTTTAGTAATATTTCTGGTGGTAAAATTTATATCTTTATTCACAGTTCTATATTCAACACTGCAATCAACTCACTGCCTGAATAGATAACTTTTTCAACTAGAAATATCACTAAAATGACATTACTAAAAAATGTTGAAATTGGAGTTAGTCATTCTGTCAACTGAAAGGCTCAGAGGCTGAAGTTATGTGGTTTATAAAAGCAGATGGAGTAACTAGATTTTTATTGCCTACCGTCGATATAATAAATAGACTTTTTGTAATTTTAATCGTATTTATGATTTGTTATCTGTAAGGTTTAAGCTTTAGCTCCGCTTAAAATACACTTCAAAAATTTTATAATAGCCCAACATTGCCACAAAATAATTTCTATTCAAAGTGTGTGCCACAGTTCGATATTCAACACTGCAATCACCTATTCTTGAATCAACTTACTCACTATCAGTACAGATATTATAAATGCTCTAACTAGAAATATCACTAAAATGACTTTACTTATAAATGCTGAAATTAGAGTCGTTCTGACAACTGAAAGGCTCATATATATAATATTAATAACCTGTAGCGCAACAACCCATGAAGGGTCTTGGGTTCAGTACTATTTATGAAAAGTACTGTTTCAAGGCCAACGGTTGTGCAGGGAGAGGATCAGGCCAAGATCACGCTCAATTGCCAGGTTTTCTTCCATAATCAATTATTTAATTAAGGGTACCCACTTTATTGAGGCTGGGTGTACCCCACCCAGGAGAGTCTCTCTACTCCATGATCGCCCTACGGCCAATTAAACATAGTATATATTTTTTCTGCCATGAGCCGGAATTCGAACGGTATTTATCATAGCATTGTACACATTTAGTTTGAGATTTCTTAAAAATTTTCGGGATTTCAATACTTTTGAAAGGAAGAAGAAAGCTCTGTTTGCGCTAGTTATACGCTGGTATATTTCTGCCCGTTGGTCATTGACTGAGGTTATTGTGTAGCAGAGGTATTTGGATTTTTCTACTTTCGGGAATGATTTTCCTTCTATGCAGATCCTCTTATTGGGTTGAGATGTTCGGCTTATTATCATATATTATATTTTGTTTTCATCATTTACTTGTAGGCCGATCTGCTCTGCCTCTCTCATCAGTGTTGCAGCGAGTTTCTTAATGTCTTCTTGATGACTTCCAAGTACTAACTTCTTGATTACTGGTATATAACTATCATAAATAGAAAATTTCAGTTTCTTATGACTTTTTCTTTTTGAGCTAAGCTGTTAAAATATATACACATAAAACTTCTCAATATTTGGTTAATTGGACTCAGGAAGCTTTTATTTTTGTTGAAAACTCGTTCCGAAATATTTAACGATCGCAGTAATTTATCTCACTATATATTAAATGTATCAGTTGAAGTAACATAATAGAACAGCCACTTTAGTCTTTATATCAAGACTGTATAAACCTACATAAGTGGTCCGACGCTTTGTTCCTTTGCCATTGTCGTTAATGAACCTTCAGAGGTCGTCTGGCGTTATCTCGATTTGTGAAATATCGATTGACATGTATTGAATGTGTTTAGTATCGCTAGCAAGTCCATTGTTGCTATCTCATTTTACACCGAAAATGAGGTGCTATCTGTAAATGTGATATACGTTTAACAGAACCACCTCTAGGCGCGAATTTTAACGTTAAAATACTGTGTTCCAGCGTAGACGATAAAACGTCTCTATGAGATGAGCAAGCTCTATAACATGAAGTATTGATGTGGGGGTATATGATTCACATCCGATCTAAAGTGCTTAAGGGTCTGCTTTTTTTCTCTCTTTTCTTTTTTTTTTAGACAGAATAGGTTTTATCTGGTGGTATAAATTTTAAAATGATCCTGGTCGTTTCTCAGTAAACTTATTACTTGAATAAGATTTTTTTCTGTACTTTGTATAAACATTTATATAAGAAAGATACTACGGAATTCACATTCAGTTAATTGCTGATGAGTGAATTTAATAACTGTTTTCTCAACAAAATTATGTATACTTTACAATGGTCTATTTAGAATTTAATTATCTTGAACAGGTTTTGAGCAATTCCCTCCTATTTAATAAAAAAAACTGTGACCACCTCAAGAAAAAATATTTATCTTAACTCTTTTTCCGTTCGGAATCAACACATGTATCAAATGAATTTTTTGTTGTTAATTTTATCTAGAATCAATCCCTACGTTTGGCCAATAAGAACTGAGATGTAGTTTCAGTATTTCACTTTATTTAATTGTGTATTTTATTTTCCAATTTAATTTAATTTTTAAATACTATTTTGTTTATTTATTCTATTTGATCATTCTCTGTTTATTTTATTATATTATTTATTTATCTTCTCCGATTTTAATGATGATATGAAATATCGAATTGACTATGCTTCCGAAAACATATATATAGATCGAATATTCTTAAATCGAAGAAATCCGAAGAACTTGAGTAGATCGGTACGCAGTGGCGTAATCAGAAAAGGATCATATTTTCATAAACTATACCACCGAAAATATATAAATTAAAAGGCAGTGTTGTTATCTGAAAAAAGAGATTATATTAAAAAATTATGCTTCCATAAACATATAAATAGATCCTTAAATCGAAAAAATTAAATAAATCGGTACGTTGTGGCTTAATCTGAGAAAAGTTATTATTTTCAATAACTACGCTTCCGAAAACATAGATCTTTATATCGAAGAAATCTGAAGAACTTAAATAAATCGGTTCGCAACGGCTTAATCTCAAAAAGTAGGTTATTTTCAAAAACTATACTTTCGAAAACATAAAAATAGATCCTTAAATCGAAGAAATCCGAAGATTTTAAATAAATCAGTACGCAGTGACTTAATCTGGAAAAAGTGGGGTAAATGTAATACAGTTAAAGGGTGATTTAAAAAAATCACAAATAATTTATGACTTTTTTTAAACGAAACTTAGATGGTTGCCACTCGTTCCTCTTAATGTTTAACAATGACAATCTCTATTTTCTTTTAAAGTGAATATTATTTAGTTTAGTTTGGAGCAATGTTAAGTTACTTAAATCAAATTATCTTTTAAGTTGTGATTTTCTATTCAACAAAAAACTTGATACGCTTAAAAAAACACAAATCTTAAATTTCCTACTTTCTCAGCTGGAAATTTGGTAATTGCTTATATGAACTTTTTTGTAGATCTTGATGTCTTCTATCAATATTTTAAATATATCCCTCTACTTACGGGACAGCCTGTATATCTCTAAATAATTTTTAAAATATACCTAACCAGTATAAGAGAAACTGTAGCGAAGATATGGAGATGCATAAAACGGAATGTAAAACACGTCGGACCGGACTTGCGTATGTGAAACTCATCATCCACTCCGATTACTAGGTCAATTCCCACCTGGATGGTTAATTAAAGTTTCAAATTGTCCATCAACGACAGGATATTGGCTTAAGATCGGGAACCCATCGAGGAGTTCCTCTGGCTCCATCTCACTCAACAAATTTGTTTCCAATATGTCTAGGACTTCATCATTACCTTTTGGAAATATGTCTAGTTTGTATCTAACTACACAGCTTTGCCACCGATTTCAATAAGATTTAACAGTTGTAAATTTCTCAAAAGGTACATTCATATTTAGTGTATGGCATCATTGTAACCTAGCAAGACGAGAAGATGAGGCTCATGAATTGCTTTATAAGATACATCTTTGGGGTTTGCAGAGGTTCTCATGTTTCCTGCTGGTATACCGTAACATAAATACTAAACTAAAATAGGTAATAAAATAAAATAAAAGACTACCATCTATAAGCAGGTACTAAATATTATAACACGATCTAGATATTCATATTATTTAAAATTTCATTCATATGTAAGGATGATTATTTAGAAACATTTCATAGAATTTTATAATTCATTTTTAAATCTCCATTTCTACGTGATTTTCTTATACATTTTCTACGATAAAGTTGAAAAAAATATGTATAAGTATAAGTATAAATATATTTTAGAGAGAATATTTTTAAAGACATTTTAACATAACTTGTTAGAGTGTGAAAGCATTGTATTTTTATTTTAAGGTTGTGCAAATTAACAAGTCAAAATTTGTTTTCGTTTTTTTTAACATTATTTATTTTAGCTAGAAAAGTTCTGGAAATGTACTTATGCTATTAAGGCTTTCTCTCTTCCTTTCATGTTTATTTATTTATTAATACATAACCATAAAATTTGACATAAAATTAAATTTTCGATCTGCGAATTTCTTTGCAATGAGCAAATTTTTTGGCAGCGTCACAGTGTCCCATCACAAATCCAGGAAATAGATTTGTTTAGCAGGTCTCTTGACCACCGCCTACGTAATCGTCGAGGTGGGCTGTACGGGTTTCTAGTGTTTTCTGTCAGAGGATTTATGTTGTAAGTTAGTCTTTGGTGAAAGTTATTGTAGTTTTCTTTTGCAGCGTCTAAAATTGTTGGGATGTCCAAGTATTTATGTAATCTATCGTTTACGATATAAAATGCTGAGTCAACTATCCTTCGTAAAGTTTTGAATTGGAAAGACTGGATTTTTTTAATATTGGAAGTTTTAGCAAAACCCCACAGTTCTATGCCATAAGTCAAAATTGGTTTAAGTAAAACTTTATTGAGGGTTATTTTGTTAGTCAAAGATAATTTTGAACGTCTGCCAAGTAACCTAGATAAAATACTGTATCGTCTGTTTAATTCCATACGTTTTTTGTCTAATTTGAGTCCTCCAAGTTAGTCTTTTGGTCCAAGTCAAAGCCCAAATATTTAATAACATCGGACCCAGGGATTTCAATGTTTGGCTTCCCAATCGAAATGGAAAATCTGCGTCTATGCTCATGTGTCTTAGAGTAAATGTGACTTATATGTATGACAGAGAGTTTTCTTTTAGTATATTTTCTACATACCTTGGTTCATTAATATTATTATCATTGTTATTGTTTTTTTTTAATTACCTATATTTATTTATCTTTAATATGTATATTTTGTATGAATGAACAATTGTAGCCCTAATATGGGTCATTCTTCAATGTGTCAGATTTTATTACTATTCAATAAACTTATAGATATGACTTAAAAAAAAAATGTGCCTCCTACTTACTTGCTTTCAGGTTGTTTATTAAATTGGTGAATCAAACAAATCTTAGAAATCAAACAAACCCTTTTAAGTGGATAAATGTTCTATCAAAATGTTATAAGTTTCATGTATTTGAAAATGTTAAGGAAAATATATATTGTCTTCGCAAGCTAAGATGTAGAATTGTCTAGGAATGGCCATACGTAATGATGCACAAAGGAAAGAATTATACAGGGAACAGCAGGTTCTACGGATTCTGCATCGACGTTCTCCAGCTGATCGCCGAAGAAGTAGGGTTCGATTACATCCTCCAGCTGGTTCCAGATCGCAAGTATGGGGCTCCGGATCCTATCACTGGACAATGGAATGGAATCGTCAGCCATCTTATGCAACACGTAGGACAATCCACATCGACAGCACTTCTTTGTTTGTCCTCCATTATCGCTTTCATAGTTCTAGTTATGATTAGAAACTACACATATAAATACACTTTTAAGAGCGATTTGGATATCACTTAATATTTGAACTTAGCTCTAGTATTGAATTCGCTTTGTATTTTGATGTATTATTCGCTTACGTAATATTTAGTAACGTAGAAGTAATTACAATATAATTGTCAATTCCACGTAATATAATGCATTGATTAATATTAATATGACATAGTATAATCCGTACTGCCAGATGTGGAACAGATATTTAGCACAGGTGTCACCGAAACTATTTTTAAAAATAACATTTTTTAATTATTTGGATACTTGAATCAGTAGAATTCGAGTGGTGAAAAACGTAAATAAGGTTTATCTTACACTATTTAAATAACTATAAAAAGTTGTCAATTTTACCTTAAAATTTGAAATTAAAGTGCAACTGTAATCTGGGAGATATTAGTCGGTGGTACAGAAACCTTTTTATCAAATCATTAATCTCTATTTAAAATTAATTAATTAAAACCTTATGAATACTCATTTGATTTCCTCTTGAATCGTAAGATAATTTGATCACAAAATCGAGAAAGAAGGTGACCTACAAAAATGTTGGGTCGTTTAGTTTATCTAACCTCGTTAATTTGATATGTTGGAGGTGGAGGTCACGGCCTCATATTTTGGTAGGCCATTTTTTGTTCTCGATCTGGAATGAAATCATCTCATAATCATGAGAACATAAAACGTCAACACTCAGCCAGTTCTTTACATTTTGAAAATAAAAAAAGTTGTTAGGAGTTTTGGAATTAGTTCCGCGTTTGTTTACAATGTGTTCCTTATTTATTTATTTATTTATTTTTTTTTTTTTTTGGATTACTCTCTAACTTTCCATTTCTTACAGCATGGGGAGGTTCTTTCAAAAGTACAACCTAACCTATACTAAAAAGAGTGAGAAGGTCGAGATTCAATTTATGAATCCACCAAGAAGTAAATTTTAACCCGCCAAGGCCGGATTCGAAACGTTTGGCGTCAATAAATACGAGAATGCTGAAACAGACAAGGCTTTAACAAGCTCGTGTACAACGCCTTACACGCCATCACGACCTCTTACCTACTTCATTATGTCACCAGAAACACACATAATAAATAGATAAAGAGCTTCAGTTCTAAACTCTCACATATTCTCTTTTTCTGTTAATCCTTTGAAGTTTTAAAAATATAATATCACTTTCATGTCTTTTACACAAAGCATTCAACGAAGTGGTAACTTTAGAAATAGTCTGTGGTACACAACCCTTTTTATCAAATTATTAACATCTGCCTGAAACTTCGTGAATGTCTTCATCTGAGCATAACCTACAAATATTTCATTTAAGAAAACTGTTGGAATTGTGGCGTTTTCAATCTGGAGGGGGACAAGCTTTGTCTACTTAATTAGGTACTAAAAACTTGTGAATACCCATTTGCTTTCCACTTGAATCGTAAAATAATTTGAGTACAAAGTCGAGAAAAAAAGTGGTCTTAAAATATATTGGGCAGATTGGCGTGACCTACACCCCAAATTATTAAAATAACGAGGTTATATATACCAAACGGCCCAATATTTTTATAGGCCACCTTTTCTATAGAGTTTTCAATCAAATTAACTTACGATCCAAGTAGAAAACAAATGAGAATTTCAGTAAAGATTTTAGTTCCTAATTAAATAGACCCCCTATCACAATCCCTATTTAGTTCCATTCATCCCTACAATCCTCCTCGAAGGTTGAAGCGGCAGTGGCCCAGAGATCTTTTGTTGTATATATCTTGGAGTTCTGGCAATGGTCAGATTCTCCCCTCAAGACATGAGTGTATGTGGGTAAAGCGCTCTGGCTCAAACTCCACTGTCTTTAGCACCAGTGACGCGGTTGAGGGAGTAGCGCAGGGATCTCTTGGAATCCTGCTTTTCCTTCTATAGCTGGAGGGAGAAGCCTGACTTTGGGTTCTCTGCCTAATTGTATAATTTTATATAGTTATGACTGTGTTTTTATTTTTATTTTCTTTAATTTACTTATCTTTAGATTATTTTATTTTATTTTATTTTATTTTATTTTTTTTTTTATTTTTTTTTTTTTTTATACCAATGTGCAAATTTACTAGATGTATTTTTTTGTATACAGTTGTAAATATCATTTAAAATAAATAAATAAATAAATTTTATTTTTTTATTGAACATAGTTTTTAATTATTATTTTACGTTTGTTAATTTTATATTTTCTGTATATATGGTGAAAGTGTGTTCATATATCATTCTAATCTATTGTCCACGTGACAGATTGTTATAATTCTAAATAAATAAATAAAATTAAAAAAATTAAATAGACAAAGATTTCAGACCTCCAGATTGAAATCAGACCTCCAATTCCAATTGTTTTCGTAAATAAAATAGTTGTAGGTTACGATGAGATGAAGCTATTTACAAAGTTTCAGACGGATGTTAATAATTTGATAAAAAGGGGTCTGTATCACATACTAAAAGTTCAAAGATAAACTTTTTTCTTCTATCGATATTTCACAAATAAATGAATATTTAAAAAATCACTGAATCTCACTCTCAGTTGGTTATAAAATTGATCTCTATTGGATACAGTAGCCGGTAAGGTGCGGTTTCAGGAGACTCCGTACGTGATGTCCAGCGGCGAGAATCGAAGCAAGTTCGAAGGATTCTGCATCGACTTGCTCCACCAAGTGGCACAAATGGCCGGCTTCCAATACCGGCTGGAGCTGGTTCCAGATGGCAAGTATGGCGCCTACGATCCAGAGACTGGAGAATGGAACGGGATGGTTCGACAGCTCATGGATAAGGTAAGTCATATCACAACATGAATGATGAGTTTTTTTTAGGAAACCATAATGTTTACAGAAATATATTTCTTGATTTATTTATTATATTTTATGGTTACCTTATAATAATTTACAACAATAATAAACTGAGCAATATATACAGGTATATTTGTAAATATTAAATCTTTTTTTTCTTACGGTTCTTGACATCCACTTTTAAGTCATGAGTCTTCTTCCGCAGCTTGGAGTTATTATAGGGGACAGTAGTGATCGTTTGGTTCTCTCTTCTTCACATTTCATTCTCTCATTTTTTTTCTTCTCATTCTCTTGCGATCACATTTCACTCCTTCCGATCAGGATCTTTTGCAGCAATCTTCCACCGAGTTTTTTTTCTACGAAATAGGCTATTATCCACCCTAAAAAGTTCTTGGAAGATGAGAAGCAAGTGTGAAACTTTGTATTCCTGTTGGAATGAGAAAAGGAAGGGGAAGTTAATATGCTGAGCCAAAAAGGAGTTAAAAAAAAATTATCAAAACGTTAAAATAATTAACTACATATTTCAAGTATTGTGATGTGATATTATACCAGTAACCTTGTCTTGAAAAGGGGTGTCTAAGGTACACGAATGGGGGTAGAAGGTTTCTTTATTTTTTCTTTTCTTGTATAAGATGGGACTGAGATACAAAATCAAAGTTTTCGACCTCGGCTTCCCTTCTCCCTGGATGAATTTTGAAAATTCCCAAAACTGCTATATTTTCTATTTTGACCATAAAGGAACACGTTTCCGACAAAAAAAAAAATATATCCAACCTCCGACCTGGAGGACCATGAGCTGTGGTGTAAGACATAGGGATCGCTCCCTATAAATCTCAGGGTAAAGACGTTACTGTCTCCATGCAGGAATCGAGGAGTAGGACCTGCACTTATAAATTTTAATTTATTATCAATTATTTTATTTTGTGATATTAAATCTCGCTAAAGGAATTTGAACACTTCATATAACATTTTGGCAGGCGCCTTAACTCGCTTTTCCCCAGGGTAAAAAAATAAACTGTTGCTCTTTTGCGGAGAACCAATCAAACCATTTTTGTGCTTTTTCTTAAGGAGTGAAACGCTTCTGATCAAGTGTTATATAGCAGTCGAATGGAGCCAAGTCTGGTGAGTACAGGGGTGACCAGTTACCTCCTCCCCACAAGGTCGATGGCGCATAAATATTCTCCCACCCCTCACAAGATATTTTATTGCCCTCATCTTCTCAAAAACGCATCCTGCAATCTGTCCCATGCTTCCATTCATCTTTTGATTTGAAACTTATCATTTCAAAAATTCATAATCCCGTCGAAATGTGCCTCCCTCAAAAATTTTGATTGCGCAACTTGCGTCATGAAATCCCCTCTGGACATTCCTGGGTGAATACATCATGTGCTATAATATTTCCAAATTGAACGCCTCTATCGTTTCGTTCACTGATTTTCTTGAATGTTATGATTCATAATAACGAAGAAAAATAGCTTTGCTTCGTCGTTTTTGATATCCTGGTCGCTTTTCAAACAATAATCAATGTTGTGATTTATCAATTAACTTTACGCATTTATATTCAGGTCGTTCCTAAACTCATGGTGAATCGCTGTTCAACCGTTTCTCGGATTTCTTCGGTGCATTGAGATTTCTTCTTAATCAATAGAAATCTGCAGTTGTATATCGAATCAAATGTGTTAATAATTTAACTTTTATTAAACTAAAAATATAAATTAAAAAAGTCTCTATCTAGCTGAAATAATTTTATATTTTTCGTTTCTAACTAACCTCTAAGCATCGCAAAGAGGACGTAATGAGATTGGAATCACTTGAGAATTACCGACAACGTTTTGAAGCTGGCAGCTACTTAGAGGGACTTAAATGGGCCTAATTAGTGGAACTTTTGACAGTGACGAAGTGTGAAGGTTGCCCATTGATGAAATAATCTGTCAATGGGGAGTAGTGAACCGATGCTGCCTTCCCTTCCCCCTCTCTCTCTGGAAGGCAGCCAATCCCTCCTTTCACCAGCTGGATTATTCAAATTGATTCCCCTTCACGGCCAACCTAATCGTTTACAAAATGCTCTTGCTCTTGAGAAAATTTCCTTCACTCAGTCTTAATTTGATATACTTTTTCTCTTTGGATCAATAAAATATAGCAACCAAGAACTTCCATGCCTTTCCTTTCCAGTAATGGACAAGTTGGACTTCAAATGTAAATAGTAAGCTTCCTTGTTGATTTAAAGTTTCCAGTTTTTTATGGATTGAAGGACAATGCCCTCTATTGACAACTGTATGAACAAAGTTCAAAAAAAAAAAAATTAACTCCTATCATTGTTGTGTCTATAGTGTTCTTGAGACCAGTGTGTTTCATACTGATCAGATATTATTTGATCTTATCTTAATCTTTATCTTTATAGTTAAATAAAAATTTAGAATTTTTCTGAGGTATGTCCATTACTAGTACCGTCTCCCTGTCCATAACTATAACATTTGAAGGGGTGTCCATCACTTGTGCAAAAATGTGTTGTTTTTAAATGGAGATTTTACCTGCACAAGTGAATATTTTTTTTCAATTTTAAAGTGCTATATAAAAAAAGGAGACCGTAGAGAATCTAAATGTCCAACGGAGAAGTTTATAACTATAATAATTATTGAGGCATAAGCCAAAATTCCTTAGCTATGTCTATCACTGGTGCGCTTACCCTAATGTTGCCATTGTCTATACAAGGTCATCACAAAACTCCTTGTGTATAAGTAAAGCTTTATTTTATATTACAAGTTTTAAACATTCTTGAACACTACTCTTCGTAATAAGAAGTATTAACGGTGCTACAAAAGTTAATAGTGATTGGAAAATTAAGAATAACAATGAAATCGAGGCCATATTAGAGAATTGCTGTATTAAGGCAAGTAGAATGAGATAGGCAGGACATGTGATCATAATAGGGAATGAATGTGTGCATAAGAAAATACTAGAAGCGCGTTTCCGTTGAAAGAGGAAAAGAGGAAGACCGAGAAGCAGGTGGAAGGATGAAGTGGATAGAGACCATGAAGATAACATGGGCGGATCTACGGGGGGAGGAGCTTAAGATACATTAATTTAATTATGTGAATTTTGGTAGTCATGGTTTATATTTTATTTGGATATTATTAATAATATTTATATATTATTATTTTAATATATATTTCTAATATATATTTTTTTTTATTTATACGAAATATCATCTTCAATATTCCAAAATATTAAAAATGGGTAAGTCTAATCAATGGTTAATAAATCTATAAGTAAACACAGCTACATGAAATAGAACATAAATTTTATTTATTTAGTTATGAGTTCTTGAATAGTTATTATTATTATTTGTGTAATCTAGAGCTTTTCTAAATTAAAATGTATCTGTTTCGTAGTTTTAAAATAATGCATAATTAATAATAGCTAGATTGAGCAAGTAGATGAAATAAAATGTTCAAACAAGCATCTGTATATTTTATTTCAATTAATAATGTTGGTTATATAGTTATAATATGTTATATAATATTATTAAATTCATAGATCTAACAAATCAAATTATTATATAGGAAATTGCTGATATCCAAAAATCATTTGTCTTCATTTTTTAATGCTCTGATCATATATCTAGGTAATATTCCCCAACATGTATACAAAATTTTAATTTAATTTCCAAATAAAAAAGTGATAAATTAAAAAAAAAATGTTTTCCTTTTATATAATATTTGGGCTTAATATATTATTGATTTCTTAAATATGCTTTACGATTTAATTTCAGAAAGCTGATCTTGCAGTGGGCTCTATGACAATAAATTATGCCAGAGAAAGCGTCATTGATTTCACTAAGCCATTCATGAATTTGGGGATCAGCATCTTATTTAAGGTAAACAATGCAAATCCACATAGCGAAGGTTGTTTTAGTGTGATTATTATGTTATAAATTATTTCATAGATGTAAAAAATATTCTTATTTTCTGCACACCTCTTGCCCATCTGTCTGATTTAAAAAATAAATGCGCATAATTTATGTTTTATCATTTTTATTTTTTTTTTATTTAGACATTTCAGGGACCTTGCTTATTCCCTCCTCTTCAACATCTATAATTTTATAAGGAATACATTATACATTCTGTTTTGACATTTTGTTTTTATTTAATAACATTTTTAATTTAAGCAATAAATTTAAATATGAAAACTTTAAATGATTCTGCTATAAAATTTCACTATTTCTTATAGTGTCACTCTTCTTCCAATTGAATGATATTTGTTTGCATAAGATAAATATAAAATTAATTTGATTTGTCAACAATTTGCAGGTTCCAACATCTCAAGAGACCCGTCTCTTTTCGTTTATGAACCCATTAGCTATTGAAATATGGCTGTATGTGCTTGCGGCCTACGTGCTAGTATCAATTACAATGTTCATAGTTGCAAGGTTTTCTCCTTACGAGTGGCAAAACCCACATCCATGTGACATGGAAAATGATCTAGTTGAAAACCAATTTTCTATAGCAAATTCATTCTGGTTTACTATCGGAACTCTGATGCAACAGGGATCAGACCTAAACCCAAAGGTATTTTTCCAAACATAACTTCTCTTAGCACTTAGTGAAATATCAGTGTGTTATTTATCATCCATAAAATACTCAAATTTCTAAAATAAAAAATATATTAATTTGATAAACAACCTTATTTTAGTTATTCATTTTCAGTGAAATCTTGATTTAATTATGATGTTTAATCAATGATGGATTAAGGTTTTACAGAGACCACATTACTCCCATATCTTTATTTCAACTATTAAAAAAATCTTAACAAGATGGTTTTATTTCATAAATATTATAATGTTTCAGCTTTAATGCCATTTTCAAATTTTCTAAAATAATACATCAGTCATTAAAATAAAATATATAATATATTCTCCATGGTAGTTATTGTTATGGTAATATTATAAATTCAGTTGTTTTATTTTACTAAGATTTATCACAGTTACTTTGGTTGGGTGTTTTGATGTTATAGGCACAAAACATCTAGGTCATCAATGTCTTATTCATAAAAATATTATTATTAAAATATTTAGTTGGAAGGATTAATGAAAAATAAAAAAATAAAAAAGTAAAGATAATAGATTAAAATAAATATACATATAAAAAATAAATAAATAAAAAGTAATAATAAGAAAGAAATAAAAGAGTAATAATAATAAAAAAAAAAATAAGGGGAGAAAAAAGGTAATACATACACATATACTAAACACTAGCGGATCCAGGATTTATTTTTGGGCGAAAGTTTTTTTTTTCATAAAAATAACGATAATTACTTCGGAAAAAAAGAAAGTACCTAACTACCTGTACGAAATGGTGTTTAAGTGATTCCTAAAGCCCTTTTAAATGTAATTACAGGAACAATAATACTTTAACAGATACTTTCTTAATGTTTTCTTCGATAAAACATGGTTATATTTTACCATTTTGGGGGAGGCTTCAGTCCGAAAGCCCTCCCTCCCCCCCATAGATCCTCCCGTGCATTTATACATACATAAATATATACATATATATGCATGCATAAATACATAAACATACACATATATATACATACATACATATAAGAAAATAAATTAAATAAGAGAGAAAGATAAATAGAAATTATTGTTATAGCTCTTTCATTAAATTTACCCTTGTCAGAAATGTTATTATTTTGTCAGTTCTATTCCTGTTGTTTCCTAAGGCTAGTGATATATTTTCTGATATTTCTAAGTCATTTAATTTACAACTATAAAACATAAGTTTGACACTACGACAATACAACTATAAAACAGTTACTTAGTATTTTATTTATCTTGGTAAAAACAGCTTTTCTTATTTACATTATCTATGTTAGGTGATTTTCAAGCATATTTCCATTTATTCTTCCTTAAAAAAATCCATTTCACTTTATAAACTGTAGCTTAGACAGTCATACTAAACTATGCAGTAGCCATCTATATCTCTATAGATCCTAAAATTTGAATAAAATTGTGGGAGTAATGTGGTTTTTGTAAAACCTTAATTTATTATTTATTGAATGTAAAAACATATTAATTTTTGTTAAAATCATTGTACAATTTTGTAGACTTTTGTCTAAACTACTGTCAGGATTAGTTTGTTTTCTGTCAACCCACTGCTACTTATATCACAACTCTTAGATAAGTATGTTTTTTTTGTTTTCAGGCAACATCAACGAGAATAGTTGGAGGTATTTGGTGGTTTTTCACCTTAATAATTATTTCATCGTACACTGCTAATCTCGCAGCCTTCCTTACAGTGGAAAGGATGATCACACCGATTGAAAACGCTGAAGATCTAGCCGGCCAAACAGAAATTGCTTATGGAACACTAGATAGTGGCTCAACGATGACTTTTTTTAGGGTAAATTCCTCTCCCTCAAGTTACGATTAATTTTTATTCATTTATAATTTATCATGATAACAAAATCTACAAAAAATTACTTGAAAATCCGTTAGTGAATTTTAAAATAGTTACATCATTAATACTATTAATTGAATAGTCTACCACTGTCCATTTCAATTATATTATAGGTTTTCAGGATATTTTTTTTGTTTTTTGTCATTTATATTAACATTGAAAGTGATTAAACAAGTGAAGTGTATTAAACATTTTATTCATTTATTTCTTAAAATAGTGAATATTTAATAGTTGACCATCTCCTTCCTTCATTTCTTAAAATAATTTGATAGTTAAATCCACAATTTTTGTTTTCATTGCTTTGAAATAATTGAAGGTCACAATGAAGTCTTAGATTTATAGGATTTTTTAAAATTATATATAATAATATATGATTCATAAAAAATCATTCTTTAAAATAAAATATCTGAATTTATACTCAGCCCATTTTTTAAAAATAACATATTTTTAGTAACTTATCAATATTTAAAACACATTAAGCATTATTTGGACAAGATGTTATTACATAAAAAGAATAAATAATTGTTAACAAGACACATTTTGGGTATTTATAGACGCTTTCCTATCTCCCGCTGGTATTCCAAGCAAGGGTGACCATATCCTAGTTTCTAAAGAACATGCTTTCTTGGTTCTTCCTATTTCATTTATAATTAAATTAAGTTCTAATTAATACTAATGGCCTTAAAATATAGTTGATCTAACTTTTCATTATGTAATTTTAGGATTCTATGATTGAAACATACAAAAAAATGTGGAGGTTCATGGAAAATAAAAAAGTATTTGTTTCAACTTATGAAGAAGGAATCAAAAGAGTTCTTGAGGGAAACTATGCCTTTTTAATGGAGTCAACAATGCTTGATTACATTGTACAAAGAGATTGTAACCTCACACAAATTGGAGGACTTCTTGACACTAAAGGTTATGGGATAGCTACGCCTATGGGTAAGGATCACTAATGAAATATGCTCTCTCTTTATATGTATAATATTAATATAATGTAGCATGCTAAAATTAAATATAAATTAATATGTACACTATAACTGTATTTCGGAGTTGTACAGTTGATTCATTCCCCATAAGTTAAAAATTAGTTTCATTGTCCATACTACTTTGAAAATTATATTCAATACTTCCATGCAACACTTATTTATTATGGAAAATCTTTTCTTTCCTTTAAAAATAATAATAATAATGCAAGCCATGTTATTATCTTGAATGTAATCTATAAGAAGAACTTCCAAGTAACAAAGAGAATGGGGTTGTTCAATCAGTAAGGAGCTGTGCTCCTATGCTCTGAATCCCAGGTTTGGGTCAGACTGTGGTAGGTAATTATTTATTATATTATATTAGCTGTGGATTGACCCTGGAAAAATTCTTCTGGGCACATTCAGCCTCTATAAAGTGGGTAATCTTAATTAAATAGTTAATTAAGAGAAAAAACCTCATAGTTGAACGTGACCTTAGCCCAATCCCTTTCCTGCTTAGTTAATATTTAAATAGTGCTTCCTAACAAAATATTAAATCCAAGACCTTCTCAAGGTTTTTTTTTTCTTTTTTTCTAATATTTGTTTTGTATATATTATCAATTAAAATTCAACTTTCAATTTAAGGTTCCCCTTGGCGTGACAAAATATCATTAGCAATTCTAGAACTCCAAGAAAAGGGAGAGATTCAAATGCTATATGATAAATGGTGGAAGAACCCTGGTGACACATGCATCAGAAAAGACAAGACAAAAGAAAGTAAAGCTAATGCCTTGGGAGTCGCTAACATTGGTATATTTATTATAATTAATTCTATTTCAGACACCAATTCTTTATTTGTTATTAATTATTAAATTTAATTTTAGGAGGAGTGTTTGTCGTGTTATTATGTGGACTGGCTATCGCTGTATGTATAGCAATTTGTGAATTCTGTTACAATTCCAAAAGGAATGCTCCAATTGAAAGGGTAAGCTTATCACTAGTTATAAATATAGTTAAATAGTTAATAATAAAGTTAACCCCTTTCAATTTCATCTGTATTCGTTTTAAAATATGTACTTATATTTTATTATTTATATATCAGTATATTCCAAATTTTATTTGTTTGGGAATAAGTGATTGTAATTCTTTAATAACAATGACCCTAAAATATTGTAAATAACATTGATAATATTCTAATTAAGGAGTTATTGTGGAATACTTACAACCCAAATAAATAAACTACTATTCAGTTATAAACTGATTAGAAATGATAAAACATATGGATACAAATGAAAATTAATATATTATAATAAAAATCAATGATTATTCTGATTATTTAATCGACCCCAAAACATCACAAATAGTTGTAAAAATATTCCTGTTAAAGAGTTATCAAGAAATAATTAAAATCATTTATTCCTTATTTATTGTATTTACCACTTATTTTTTGTTTAAAGTAGTTGTTATAAACAAATAGTTAAAAAGATATTATAACATTATAGTTTAACGGTGCTGGTACTGGTGGGGAGACAAAGTCCAGCAAGTGGGCCTATTGGTCCATTTTGCCAACCCCTAAGACAATGATATCGATGGTAGTCTATTATACTTCCAACTCTGTCTCAAATCTTTTTTTTTCTTCTAATGAAGTTCAAAAGGCTGGATCATTTTATGGAGGTAGCTTTGTGTTCTTGTATTCGATCTTAGCCCAGAATCTGTATCTGAGCGACGCAAATCGGTCACATTCTGTGAGTTCATCATCTACTATTCCGCAAATGTTTAGATGTCTTTTAAGTCTGTAATGGTATGTTAATACTTCGGTGATGAGTCGGATTTCGATTTTGGTTAGGCCCACCAGCCACTTAGAGGAATACCACTTTTTACAGAGGAAGGGGTATTTGATAAATTGTTTGGCTTGTCTAAGCTCAGTTCATTCCCTCCACTCCTTATCTGCTCTTTTCCAAATCCAATCAAGGATTTCTTTTTGCTGATGTTTCTAAGGTTGCTGATATTTTAAACACTTTTTAATTCATAGAAAAAATGTTTCAAAAGAAGAAAACTTTTAATATTTTGTTAATGAAACCTTATAAAACTAATCAAAAATTTTAAATAATACTTCTCATGTACAGTTCTTCTACTTTATTTTATATAAAATAATTATTTTTTTATTTAATATTTTAAATTGTCCATTTAATGACATTTTTTTTTTTAAATTGAGATTAAATTTATCTTCAATCTTGAAATTATCATTTCTGTTAATTTGTGTTATCTTATTGATTTGTTACCTACGTTACAGTTTATTTTCGATTGAGATTATAAAGAAGTTTGTTTATTACTTATATTTAGCGAGCTGGTTCTCAGTCTTTGTGTGCCGAAATGGCTGACGAATTATGTTTCGCACTCCGTTGCCGTGGTTCGAGGCAAAGGCCAGCTCTCAAGAGGCAGTGTTCTAAGTGTGCTTCATCTGCCTCTTACATTCCGACGATTCCTCCGGCACCGGCGCCTCCTCAACTCCCGGCTTACAGCAATGCACAGGTAAGGTACGGCATTTTATTGAGCCTATTGTTAATTCATTTTTATAAAAGATATTATTTGTAATTATTATCAATAATACTACATTTAATTATGAAAAATACAAAGCATTTTACGGCATAGAGATCGGTCTGCTGGAAATTTTGTACAATATATTAGAGGCACAGTATGTAATTTACAATAATAGTATATTAAAAACATGATATAAATATATAATAATTACTTAATAAATCGATTATGAATTTTTTCAGAAATAAATATATATTATAAACAATAATAAAATACTATAAAGAATAGAAAAACATTTTAAAAACACTATTGTAATAAGAAATATTAACATAGAATAAAAATATTTTAAAAATCGGTTAATGATTGATTTATATTTTATAAACAAGATAAAAGAAAGATGAGACAAATTGTAAAAAACATAAATAAAACCTACAATGGGAGTAAAAATAAATTTGAAGAACCCTGTCTTTGTTGGATAGATGAAATGATAAAAATGATTCTACTCATGACAAACAAAATTGATAAGCTAACAAAATTCATTTATAGAAATGGCAACATTCATTTTTCGAGGAATTCAGTAAATTTTCAAATACTCATAGGTTTAATTTAACCAAAAATTGTGTATTCTTGAGTTATTCACAAATAAAATTCTGAATTCATCATTAATTTTTTTTTCAGCCTCTTTTTTGGGAAATTATGTTTCATACATAAATGAAATGGGTTGTTAGGAGAAGGCTTTAGCCAAGTAATATTTAAAACGTTATTGCCATTTTGGTGCTGTAGTCTATAGCGACACATGTTTTTCATTTGCTGTTTCGAAATGAAAAGCCTGGTAGTAATGAAATGTATATAAAAACATTTCTGAATTTGATTGCAATGTTGTATCAAAATTTCAAAGCAATCAGTAAAGGACTTTTGGAGATTAGTAGTTTTGTAATAACTTACATTTACATATTTATTTATATTCACTTTTTCCGATATTTTTTTATTTATAATACTAAAACTATTCAATAGCTACTAATCAAAAAATAAGGAATTAAATTGGTTGAGAAACAGAGGAGAAAAAGGTACTCAACTGTTTTATCTTTGCCTATTTATATAATGATAACCTAATTATCATTGATAAGTAAAAATTGAAAATTTATGTATGTACCTAATTGACAAAAATTATACCAATGAATTGACAATCACTACCAACTTTTAACTTTCGTTGTTTATTTTCTTCTATTTAAATATATACTATCATATAATTCTTGTAACAGGTAGCTTACTCCTAGAGGGCAGCCATTATTCCAAGCCACTACAATCTTTATTTGTCTTATAAATGCATTCTATTCTATTTTTTAATTTGAAATTAAAATTACTAATATCTTATTAAACTTAATGCTTAAATCTGTTTTCACCTAATAGAATATTTATATTCTTAGGGAGCCAGTTTGGGAATTCCCCTAGACTTACCACACCATGCAATGAACATGAAAATTTGAAGAAAGTGTAAATAAACAATAGTGTAGAACATGTTTTCGAGACTAGAACACAGTTTGTGTAAATTTTTTTTTTCTTCTGTGTTGCACAATATTTGTACGTGTTCTTGAATTATTATGACTGCCGAAATAGATTATAGTACTTATAGTGTTTTTCTACTTCTTCACTAAAAGTGAATGTAACATTTTATGTACATATTAATGTTAATTATTAGGAATTAGATAATATTAGTATTATGTTCGAATTTTTATTTATAAATTTTGTGACCCAACTAGCAATTTAGATAAAAACAGAAAAAAAAATTAGTTTTATGAGCTAAATAAAACTATTGGTCACTAATTTTTTAGCACTAATATTCAAAGGGTTGATAAATATTTAATATGTCATAAAAAAAAATTTCAGATTCTGTTACTAAACATTTCACTTCATAATTTGCGAGTAGATGCGGCACAGGTTCGAATAAGGCCTAGGAATTGACTTTTTATTTTGTGGTTGATATTCTCCAAAATAAATTTTTAACTTTTCACTATGGCTTAAAACGTTGGACAGCTGTACAATGACTTTTCATTCCTGCTGTAATAGGATTATTTAAGGAAGTAATCCAAATAAAAACATAGTGCTCATAATTTATTGTTTCTATAAGTAGAGTATAGTTTTATTTACATAATGATACATAACAGAAATATTACAAATTTATTTAATCATAGAAATTTTATTTTTAATATAGAATATATTTATTGAAAGAAAACTGATATATAATTTTCACGAAATTTTCTAACAAAATAATTGTAAAGCTGAAATGTTCGGGCTCAGTTCTAATACTCTACATTCATTAAACTTTTTCATGTTGAACATTATAACCGATGAAACTGTCATTTTAAAGATATTTTGATGTAAGTTGGTAAATATATTTCTCATCGATTGACTAAAAATCAAGTATGTATAATTCTTTTTGTGCCTTTTTCAATGAATTCAGCAAATAGAACAGAGATATTAATTTCATAATTTATTTGAAACCAAGATTTGATCATTTTATTTTCTTAAAGCTTTAGTTTTATATTTTGTTATTATTGTACTTGTATTAATTGAATTCATTCTTAGGATCTCAAACCATTTATAAAGGTATTAAAATCAACCACTTTAATGAAGCAACTCTAAAATCTTGTTATGTTATAAGTACTCAAAAACATAACTGTCATAGCCAAATAGAAAAATTTAAGTAATTGACTAATTGAATTTTTAGGTATCAACATCTATTGGTTATTAAAATAACCAACTTTAATTTACAAAGGCCCCAAGTTCGTTGAATATTTTTAATAGTAGTTTTTAATAATCAAATAGTAAACTAGTGCCAAGAAATACATGTTATAAGAATCAAAACATGTTCAAATTTCTAGATTTAATATCAAACATTCTCTACATAAGTAATATTCAATGTACATATGTAATGTTCCGACTGTTTTGAGTTAATTAAAACAGAATAAACCACTACAAAGTTTCATGTTGATAGTTTTTTTCATCATTGAAAAGACCATCTATAATTTTTTTTATTTCATTAAATATAAATTAATGCAGATCCATTCCATGAAGAGTATGTAAAATGTAATATTAACATAAATCTTAAAATTTTGTAAATTATATCTTCATTGTTCAAATAACTCAAATTATTGGGAATGTTTATAGTTAAACACCTCCACAATAACAGGCATTTAAATAATATTGTAATGCAAAAAAAAAAAAATGGAAAAGCTAAAAATTTGCTAGAACACACATATGACTAAGAAGTGATAACTTTTGTAAGAAAAAAACTTAATTTTTTTCACTTCCTATAGTTCTGTAGTTATTCATTTTTTACACCCATATGGTTTAAAAAACGAACCATATAAAATATATGGTCTCTCCAATTGAAATTTAGTTTCTTTATGATGACAAAACATAATTTTTTTCGCTGTTATGAGGTATCAGTCAATTCTTAGTCATCTATACCAATGCTGCTGGGGCAACTAAGGCAATTACCCCAGGCCACTGGCCAATCTTTAGGGGCGCTCGCCACTTGTTAGAAATTTAAAAAAAAATACAAAATCTATCAAAAATCAAATTTAGCCTATTAATAAAGCAAATGTATTACAGAAATATTTAATGAAATAAAATTCAAATATTATATAAAATAAAATAGCTTAATAAATAAATTTCATTTTTTGTGAGGGAGATATGGCGTCATTGCCCAGGGGCACCGAATGTCTAAGGCCGGCATTGATCTGTACATTACCATATTCAGATGATTTCAACCAATAGTAACAAAATTTAGTTTTTAATTGAAGCCGGTATCAAAAATTATATTCTATTGCACTTAACAAATAATATCATTATAAAATATGAGAAGTAATTCATTAAATAACTAAAAACTATTCTCATGCCAGTTATTAAAGGCTCTCCATTCTGTTCCTGTTCCCCTACTCTTAATCAACTCTGCCTTCAGTAACTGTTCAACATATAGGTTCTATTTAATAAGAGAATTTCTGTTGTATACTTTGTTAGTAAAAAAGATTTCCATGTTTTTAAAAAAAAATTCTAAAAACATATTCAGTATTTATTTGTAGTTAAATGTAGGAAATACATGACAGGAAGAACTACTGCAAAATAGTCAGAAAAGCTTAGAAAATGACATTTTACTTCATTAAACAAATTTTTTGTTTAATATTTTTTTTTACAAATCATAATAATTAATTTAGCAAATTATGTGATTAAAATTAAAAAATGGAACTGAAAATTGTATAAAAATAGGTGTAATGTTTTAGAATGTATAATAGTAAATAATTAGGTTAGATATCTTTACCAGAACAAGAGGATTTTATATTTCATGGACGGATGGAATACACTTATGTAATATAATTCCTGAATTGTTGAATATTTTCAATAAAATAGTTTTCAAAGTTTTTATTGTTTCTTGTATAACTAACTTGTTAATTATTCATGGCTACCTAAGCAAGCCTAGTGAATATTTGTATAAGTCATTTCAAATCACAGATCTGTTGGATCTATCAGGCACTTGATCCTATATGAATGAGACTCGACTTGATAACCTGGGAATGGTAATTAAAAGATGTCTTCCAAGAATTATGACAATTTCACAAAGACGATCTTTATTTTTCAATTAAAAACATGTAATTTCAAAATTGAACCAGAATAGATGGAAATCCATATATGTTTTAATATTTATCAATAATAATTCATTGTCAAATATAATTAGGTAGCACTCTTTTATGAAAATAAAGTGTTTTTTCTCCTTTCTTCCAAGTCTGTCAAATTTTTTTTACATGAACTGTGTTACATAAATATGATATGGAAGACAACAATGGACAGAGAATTTGAACTATACTAATTATTATTTAGAGTTTAAGATTATAAACTGCTTTTTAAAGAATTTTTGAAGTTTTCACTTACAATAAGCCATTCATTTATTAGTTCAGTTTTCTGTTAGCTATGAGTCATATTTAAGATAGCATATTTTCTGTGTATGTCTCTTTGAGCCATTGATCTGTGAAGTTATGGTGCATAATTTACCATTTCCGAATTATTATTTTACTATATATCTTAGTTTTATTCATGGTGAAGATCAGCTGTTATTATTAACTTATAATGGTATAGGAAGATGAAATAATTTTCATCATTGAATGATTTTCATTTTTATTTCTGCTCAATGCTTCCAATTCGTCACATTTAAGAGTTTATGTATTGTCAGTTTTATAAAAATATATATTCATTTTTTTTTTCCTTCCATTTTGAGTTCTTAATTTATGATTTAAACTGACAATTTTATGACAAAAATGATGAAGACAAGGATACAGTATAATGAATTAATATTTTAATTAAAAATAAAAAAAAATCAACAGAAATGAAATATAAAAATTATAAGAGTTGTTATTCCATCATCTTATACTATTACACATGTATTTGATTATATATCACCAATGGTTCTTTTCATTATCCCAAATTAGTGTGTTAGATTAGATTATAAATAATTAAGGTATCATAAAATTTAACAACTCATTTATTTTTTCAACAATTTTTTATTTATTTTAATATAAAAATGTGATAACATATGAAGCTATAAATACTTTCTATGTACACACCACCATCTGAAATTTCTATAAATAAATAGAATCCTGGCAATGTATAAATTAATTAATTCTGATTTACATATCTTATGCCAAGATGATGTTATTTGAGGCACAGAAGTTCACTAAACACTTGGAAATTCGCCACACTTTGTTCTTACACAAAGCCTGTTATTGTATTAAACATTATTTTATGAGTGATACAAGTTATAACAAAACTGAAAATTAAGATGACAAAAAATTTTTTTCAATGATCTTATAAATAAAAAACAATATGTAGAACATTAAAAGTATTGCATTTAAAAAAAGACATTCTCAATTTTTTTTTCTTTTAATATAACATAAATGAACATACAAAAAATATTGGTTATCTACACGCTTTTTCTGTACATGCAAGAAGCTGTAATAAGTCCATTGCTAAAGCAATTATTTAGCTCAAGCTAGAAATACTTATTGGGCATTAACAATATATTTCCTAATATCATATTATGAAAAGTAATGCATGAGATTAAGGAATTTTGTATAATCACTAGCATTGTTATTCACAGCACATTTAAATAGTAACAACTTTTCACATTGTACAAAGTATTAAACGCCATAATCAACTATGAAAATTATGAATGCAGAATAAATATGCTTAGCAAATGTTTGATATTAGGAGAACCATTAAGCGCCTTTACAGGTTTGAAGTTCCTTCCGAGTAGTGTTGAGTGCCGGGAGGAGCCTTATATCCTGGATATGTTGAGTTGAGGGCGTGCTGGGCGAAGAAGGAGGAGTAATCCTTCTTTACTTTCCTTGGCCTGAAAGCTGGTCCCTTTGCAAGAGCTACCCTCGCTTCATTTTCAGCTGCCGTTTGCTGCTTTATGCTCTCTGGCGGCCACTTCTGGTCTCCCCTCATCCTGGCGCCTCCTTGTACTGAAGCCACTGGTGGCTGGGCCTGATAGACCGGAGCTGGCTGTTGGTTCACTGGAGGAGTTGATCGTAAAGTAACGGTTGTTTTCGGTGGCTCAAATTGAACTGGATGATAGATTGGTTGTTCTAATTGTCTTCTTGCAGGTTGTGGACTGTCTGGTGCCTGTCTGATTGGTGGTGTTACCTGTGCAGCTGGTGTGGGTCCCTACAACAATAAAGAAATAATTAGAATGACATACATAATTAATACAAAGAAGCAAAACAAAAATTTTTTAAAATAATTTGATCATGAAAAGTAACAACTAAAAAAATATATGGAAATAAAAGCTTGAACCACGACTCCAACCTAAGAAGAGTTTTGGGATAACTACTTTCTAAGAAAGTCATGTTTATAGACCAAGGGTCGTTTAAAGAGGTGATTGGGCCGGAATAACTCATATTTTTTTTCCTTAATTGAAACTGGGTGTTCCTCAGGAGGATCTTCTGACCCCAAGGTCGACAGAGAACTAATAAAACGGAATATATAATCACCTGCTATGGATTAGAGCATTGATGCAGAGTACCTTATTCACTTATCTACTCGCTCCTTATAGTCAACAACTACTAACAATTTTAATTATGGAGTATGGACAACAAGTATGGAGGAGGGAAAGAAAAAAAACTGGGTTGCCAGAACGCATATCAAACCAAGAAATATGGAAAATCACCTCCCAATCCATTTGGAAAAAAGGAAGCAAAAATGGAAATAGGTAGGACATACACTGATGAAATCGGTCTGTGCTAAAGAAAGAATTTCCGTACTACGGAACCCTAAGGGGAAAAGAAGGAAAGGCAGACCAAAAGAGAATTAGGCTGGGTTGGTAACAATTGGAAAGAGGAAAGGAGGATTGCTGCAGAGCAGAACAAATCGAAAATACTCATGGATGTACTATGCTCCAGTGGAAATGAAGGAAAATTAATAATTAACAGATGCCTAATTTTGTGCTCGTTAATTTATTATCGATGATATTTTTTTTTATGAAAAATATTTTCAAAAAGTGTATATATTTGTTTTTGTGGTACTGTAGCTCACTAGGAAAAAACAGAAAAACTTAAAATTCTTTAATTAAGACGTAAAATTAAATTAATGTAACAATTCCCAACTTTCCAGAAATGAACATTCCTATTTTTACTGGATTATTACTCAGTAAAAATAATAGGTAGATCTGAGTGAGTAAGGCACTATGCTCCTATTCTCTTTGTCCTTGTTTGAATTCAAATGTGTAAGGTAATTATTTATTCTGCTACATCAACCATAAATTGGCTTTTGGTTCGGAAAATAACACTGTGAACTAATTAAGGGGAAATCTAGTGGTAAGCATCAGTCAAATCATCTCCTCGCATAACCTTGAAAAAAAAAACCAATACTTTATTACAAAGGGCAAAACTCAAGACCTTCCACGTGTTGTAATGGTACGCCTTTAATAAGTCAGTGGTCTCCAAACAGGACTATAAACTGACAAATTAATTTGTTTCTACTATATTGTAAAATTTATGATATTTTTAAGGGATAATCTGAATATTTCAAACCCAAAGCCTTCTTGAGTTGCTAAAATATAAATTAACTACTATGTGTGTGACTTTTGTTGATTCTGTCCTTGTGATGCCTAAATTGCCAAAACATTCACAGGTTAGTGTTTTTTTAAAATTGTATTCTTACATTTAATTTATATATTGATTAATTATTTTAATAATTATGATTGTTGATTACTATTCTAACAATAAATTTAGATAAACTGGCCAAAGATAGTATAGGATTAGAGCAGCCAGGAAATCAGATGTCTTTTCAAATACCTTGGGAAGAAAAAAAGAAAACGGGTTGTAGAATTGGAATTCCTTAAGATAAATGCTGTTGGGAAGTTATGGAACAAATTGCTCACTGAAGAACAAGGGGCACCAGCAGACATAACGATAAAGAATGCTGTTGGGGAACTTCGTATGATTACCTACTGACCATGGCTACATAAAAAAACATTTTTATAAAATAGTTATGGCAGACTTTCTACTCTTAGTCAGGGAGCCCATGGCATAAAAGGGGTCTTATATCATACTAAGTTTTATCCTTATAACTTGACCATGTCCATAGGCCTGATGAAGAACATGCACATCTGCCAGCATATAGCCGCTGGAATACAAAATGGCGGCCAGGTGAAGATAGATATAAAAGCAACCAACTCTATAAATTTACAGTATTTACTGTCCTAAGACATGAAATAATAGCCAGTTACCCCCATACCCGTGGATTTCGAGAGGAAAATTTGAAGTTACTGTTCTAAAAGTTCACTTTTTCGCTTATAACACTGAAACTACTACGCTTTCTAGCGATAATAATGTCTTATGTAAAATCAAAGCTACTAAATTTTTAACAGAAATTATTAAATTTATGTTTTTGCTATTTTCTATATTATTGAGTAGTATTTCGTTTATATTAAAATTTACAATGTAAATAAATCAAAGTAAATAAACAAATATATTTATTTTTATATTTGCTGACGTTTTGTTTCCGCACAAAGTTCAGGCTTTCATCAGGGAAGACCAAGAATTCTGACTTTTCTAAGAAAAGACCAGATAACAATATGAGAAACTATTAACTTATGAAAAATAAAATAATATTAATAATAATGTAACGAACATATAAAAAAATTAATAACAGTAATAATTTGTAAAACAGAGAAAAGGAATATGAAGTTATATAAAGAAAATAATATATTTAAATAGAAACATTAGAATACTGTAAAATCTATGAAAACATATATATACATGTTTTGATTGATTTTACAGTATCTTAATTTTTCTAGTTAAATCTATTATTTCCTTTATATGACTTCATAATAGTTCGTGGTACAGACCCTTTCTTATCGAATTATTAACATCCGTCTGAAACTTCGTAAATAGTTTCATCTCATCGTAACCTACAACTATTTTATTTCCGAAAACTCTTGGAATTGGGGCGTTTTCAATCTGTAGGGGGACAAACTTTGTCTATTTAATTAGGTATTAAAAACTCGTAAATACTCATTTGCTTTCTACTTGTATCGTAAGATAATTCAATAAAAAAAATAGAGAAGAAAATGGCCTTCAAAAATATTGGGCCATTTGTCCTTTATAACCTCGTTATTTTGAAAATTTGGCGGTATAGGTCACGCCAAACGTCTCAATATTTTTGAAGGTCACCTTTGAACCCTGATGAAGGCCTGAACTTTGGGCTGAAACGTCGGAAAATATAAAAATAAACATCATTTATTTTTTCTATTATTTATTTATTTTTTTTACTGAACACCCCAACGAATTTCTTTCAATTTTTGTCTATATTTATAATGACCCCCATACCAGACTGAAACGACTAGAAACCGCCCGACGTTTCCGACTACTCCAGCACTCACTAGACAAACGCTCTAAACTGCCAACTATTTACAAAAGACTCATATATATTACTATAATAAGGCCTATTTGGACTTACGGGATCGAGCTTTGGGGCTCTACTAAACCATCAAATTCCTCTCGTATCCAATCCCTACAATCCAAAATCCTTCGTAAAATCCTTAATGCTCCCTACTTTGTCACAAATAAAATCATCCATAATGACCTTAATGTACCATATGTTTCCGATTTAGCTCAATCCAGATACCTCTGTCCTTTCATACTTCTGAACCATCCGAACCCTGAAAAGAAGATGGTCTCGGGACCTTCTAATATATAAATATAATTTGAGTGCTACCAATGGGTATTTTCTCTTCATGTTGTACATGTCATATTACTTGTTCATATTTACTTGTTGTATTTATTATTAATTACAGTTGTAAATTTCATTAGTAAAAAATAAAAAAATATATTTATAATGAAAAAAAAAAATTCTTATGTAGAACAATGTTTGCAAACATCTTTTGTTTAGTTTCTCCGAAGTGGTTAGGAGAACAATGTGACATTGGGTTATATAAATATTTGTAAATAGTAAACCATTGTGTAATAATGTGTAGCGTTTTTGTTATCTGAATTACGATAACATTTTGTTTCTTTACTTACTTGGGAATATACCGGATCCTGAAAAACAGCTGAATTATTTTCGTCTTCTTCGGGTGGTGGTGGCCAAGCCACTCGTTTCAACCCTGAAAAAAAAATTATATATTTAAAAAATATATATATATTCGAATGAGAGAAAATGTAAGCAAGATTTAAGTGTTTCTGCATTAACCGAGGTAGTAGACAGTTGGCTTGTCATGAGAGGCTCAGGTAAATATAGCTCCGCCATTGCAGTGGAATCCTCCAATCCAGGGAGGGACGAGCTATAGGTGGAAGGTTGCCAATATAGTCGGGATGCCATGCCTCAGGGTTCCTAACCTTACATGACTCTTAGCGAAACCTATTTCAAGATCTGCTGATCAGGGTGTATATTTGCACGAATGATACGTCCTGTGAGAACCCAGGACGGCTTATCAAGTTACGTTATTACGTAGGACTGTGTGAAAAACAAATCTATTAAAAATATTTTATCATTCTTTAAGTGTGTGTGGTTAATTATTTGCATATTTCATTTTAGTTGGCTTTCTTCCAACGTAGACACTTTGTTGTCTGACGTTATCCGGCGTGGAAGAATCCCAAAACAAAACACTTATTATAATCGAAAAATATAATTTTTAGCTTTGCTGAGTGATTTTTACAAATCAACACAATCTAAATGATTTTTCCTTCCTCAATTTCGTATATATTTATACAAATCCAAATTCGTTGATGTCTCACGGATAGTTTATTCACTTCAATATTTTCAGTTGTTTCAAGTGAACGGTTATAAAGATGGAAGATTCTTAAATTAGACTCAGAATATTCTACACAAGAAGCAGCAAATAAAACGCAATATGGAAGCGAAGCCCACGGGATAGTAGAATTTATGATCAATATGGAATACATGATTTGAAAATCAATGGAGGTAGAGACATAAATCGAATTATTTTCTAGTTTTTTTATTTATTTTTTAAAAATAGTATAGAATAAATTATTTTTATGAAACGCCTTAACATATTAATATGTGATTGTTTTTTTTTTTTTCTTTTAACCCCTACCTGACCGTTTCTGGTTTGTGGGGTGGTTATTTTACTGGTAATAAACCTCTTCTACTAGAGACGGAAGGAAAAGATTCACACTGTGGTTTTGTCTGATTGGGCCCCTCGATATTTAGGTGTTATTTTTTTATCCTTTTTATTATATATATATATATATATATATATATATAATACAAAATTATTTTGAAAAAATAATATTTAATTTAATATATATTTTTTTTATTATTAAAAAACCATTAAAACTGTCCATGTCTGTATATCTGTTTTATAATAAACAGTAAATTATTAATGTTACATAAACAGGCAGAACTACGGTGAGGGGAAGGAGGGGGCTCTCGGACTGAAAACGTTCCCAAAATGGTAAGATATAACCATGTTTTATGAAAAGAATTATCCCTAAAAGTATTATTGTTCGTCTAATTATATGTAATAGGACTTGAAGAATCACTTAAACACCATTTCATATAGGTAGTTAGTTTCTTTCTTTCTTTCTTTCTTCCGAAGTAATTATCCTGATATACACATACAAAAAAAATCTTTCGGGCTGAAGCTCTCCCCCAAAATTAAATCCTGGATCCGTTAGTGGTTATTAATATATCGTTATTAACTAATTTAATTAATGCTAAATATATTGGATTAAATTAATATAAAAACTTTAAATAAGCATTGTTTGTAATTTATCCTCAGGTTAATTATAGAGGGATAATTATTTAGGGATAACATTATAGTAACAATCGCGTAAAAATAAAAAATAAATAATTGGAGTTAAATTTTATGAATTTAGGGGAAACCGTTGATAAGTCCAGGAAGGAATAAGCGAATGACCTCCTAACCCTGACCACGAAAGAAATTTCAACACGCCCAGGGCGGAATCGAACCATTACCAACTCGGGGTTGTTGAGGTTGGGGGGGGGAGGTGACCGAGTGGACAAAACTCGCATTGCCGGGCAACCTGATAAACCGTAGGTTACGAGTTCGAGTCCCGGCGTTGAAGAGGCTTTTAACTCTCGTATAAATTCTCCTTCTCTCCTGCCCTCTTCTCTGGCTCAAAAAAACAAACAAAAAAAACACGTACAACCGAAATGGCGAAATAGAAGAGAAAAAGAAAAAAAAATGTTAAGGTGACGACTTCAGACATTTATTTATTTATTAACTATACATCCTTTAATGTATTATTGATTCTGATTCTGATTATATATATATATATATATATATATATATATATATATATATATATATATATATATATATATATATATATATATATATACATTGCGCGGCAAATGGAAAATGATCATTCATAAACGATTGTTAAGGTATCGTTAGATACATAACGCATACATGTAAGATTCTTCTTGATTTCCCCATCATTCTTAGGTAAACTGTCGAGAACTGAAGTAAGGAGTTGGAAGGTGCATCAGAAATAAATACTTAAGAAAAAAATCCCCAAAAAATTTCTGTATAAACAAACAATGGAGATCCTTGTGGGCACAGCTTATCGAAAGAAAGCTTCTCCATATAAATTAATACGGAGCTCAACTTTTGTCATATATACTATTTTGAGTTAGATAGTAAAATTCATGAGCACCATAAGGTTCTTCATTAAGTTCTTTGCCTATAGATCCATCCAGTTATTCTATTCATAATATGAATCATTACTTACAATGTTATAAATGAGTGAAAGTATGAATGAAAAACGCGCGAAAATTACCTTACCAATCATTCCAATTTAAAAAAAAAATGGAAAAAAGAGCCATTATGGGGAATGTTTTACTAACAAAATAAAGAAGATTACCTCTGTGAGGAATGTCAGGTTCGAGTCTGGTTACGTCAGATAATTATTAAATCTGTTACATATGTCGTGGACCGATCCTTAGATTGAGAGACCTTCATGGGGCACACTGATCTTCTCTAAAGTGGATACCCATAAATAATTCATTAAGTGGAAAACTTTGAGCATGATATCGGTCAAAATGTCATAGGCAATGTCAATACTAGAGTTAAATTTAATTTAATTTATTTATTTTGGACTTGTTTCCACTGACTTTTACTAGCTTTTTTCAAAGAGCATGAATATCATTATACCATATCAACATATACTCATTATACAGCGGTAAAGAGTATGTGCATATACTCCTACCCAATAAGTTTGGGTATGTATTTAGCTCATGTTTCAGTTCTAGTCTTTTTAAAAAATAAAAATAAAAGGTAAGGATGCTGGGAAAAAATATGAATCTCTCACATTACATAACATACGACCTGCCAAAAAAACACGCAGTGGCTTTCTTTAAAATTCTTACCGGCACGACTATTTGGAGGCTCATTTGAGTAAAAAAGGGTAAATAGTGACATGGGGACATGGATAGGAACAGCTTACTACACCTTATATAAAGGAGAGGAAAAGTAACAATGAAAATCCTTAAAGAAGAAATATAAATGTCACTCGAATTTAAATAATGAGAGCCTTAAATTATAAATATAGTAAGCCTCCATGTTTTGGCTCGAAATAAAATTTTAAAAATCACTTTTAAGCATATTGGATTCTACTTAAGAGAAGATCTTCTAACCTGTATACTGTCGCTTTATTGCAAATATTCATTAAATGACACTCATAACCTTAAATAATTAAGAATTTTCCCTTTGTGAAATGAGAAACAACGTTTGATACATAAAAGTGTTTGTTTAATTTCGGTGCGCGAACTGTATTTGTTTCAATCAATAAATAAGATCGAAATTCACAAAACCGTTCTTAGAAGTTCAACTTCAACAAAAGTATACTTAGTGACAGTTTCCAATAAAGCGAGGATATTCTCAATGCGTAATAAACTTTGTTAGTTTATTTTTTTTTTTTTTTTACTCTGCCACCAAAGTAAAGGTTCTTTTGTCAAAATAAATTTCGAGAAGTTTTCAGACTCGTGAACTCATGCGTACAAAACATAAGTCTGTACACAAGTATTAGTGTATAATTTATTAGACATACTTATTGTTGTATTTATATTCGAATGTATAATTAATCGTGGGTGAAACCTACAGGTATAGCTGGTTTAATATAATTTGATCCCGAAATATGCCGGCTCCGAATCTCGGAGTATTGTGTTTCACTGTGAAGGTCAGAAGCTCGTGTTTATTTCGAGCTCTAATGTAGTTTGATCCTTTACAAGAGAAATTTAAGTAATAGCATAATTGTTTTTTATACTTTTTTAAGAAATAAAATTAATATATTCAATTTTTTAAAACCTAAGTTCTTCATGTTTATCCACTGCGGTGCTGAAAAAGTATTTTTTTTTTTTTTTTTTTTTGCATACCACCACTAGCAGATTCATGCCTGTCAGACTAAAGTTTTTCCCCACCAAAAAAATAGAGTATTTCATTAACATTGGAATAAATATGAACCTTTTGTTTGTTTTTTTATGAATGATTTTATTTAATTTCTTAAACAATCATAATATGTCCACTTTATAAATTATAATGTGTGCACTTGTGCTGCTTAATGTGAGCACGTGCATCACTAAATATTTCTAAGATATGAATTTCTTATTTATTTTACAGCATGTAATTCATTCGATAATAAAGTACGAATAACAATAAATCTAAGAAAAAAAAATCTTATGTTGATTTATTTTTTAAATTAAATTATTATATCCAATGTAAACCCTAATTGATTTTTTTAATTCGAGATTAGTATCGATTCTCGTGTAAAAACACCGATGGTTAATTATTCTTTTCCAAAACGAAACGGTTTTGTTTTTTTTTATCAAGAATTGCAATGGAACTTGCATTTCTTAGGTAATCTTTAAAAAATAATTCATCAACATTTTTTATCTGTTTTATTTTTATAACTCCTCCCCTCTGAAACATACATACTTATATCTCTCAAAACCGAACACCAATCGACCTTTTTTTTGTTAAACACAAAAACACTGAAGTTTAAAGTGACCCTATTCAAGTTTAAATGTTTTTAATTATAATTGAAACAACCGATGATTTTCTGAAATGTGTGATACAATAAAAAAATTTCTTGATTTATTTTTTTTTTTTTAAGTAAATCAAGATTTGTATATTACAATTGAAACAGAAAACATAGTGTTTTACGGTTCTTGAAAATTTACCAATGATGTTTAGGATCCATTTTGAGAATAAACGACTCATAGACAAAGATTTTAAAATTGAAAATGCGCCTAAAGTTTTGCCAACCTATCAAAAATAACTGACATGAATTTCTTATTTATTTGACATCGTGTTATTTATTGGAAGAAAAGCACGAATATCAGTGAACCGAAAAATGTTTATAATAATAAAAACCATGATTCGAATTATTTTTATAAATATTAATCACAATGACGATATACCGTTTTATGATAAATATTCGATTTAGTAAAATATAACTTATTTATCATTCATACAATTTTTTTTTATTAGTTCGAAGTTATATTTTAATACTTATTATTAGTAATAACAAATAATTATATTAATATAAATTAATATGTAGAAGCACTTACTTGTCAAATGACCTGATTCCACCGGTGCCAGGCACACACTACAAATTGAGGCGAACCGCCAAGAAAATTGGTGCTAATTTTCTTCAAGATGAGGGTAATAATAAAGAGGAGGGGGCCCAGATCCCCCCACTTTTATCCCCACCTTTGGGGTGCCTTCTTTATCAGGAATACAGGATCAAGGTGGCGGTGGACAAATCTCAATATAGAAACCACTGAGTCACCAAAATTTGTATATTCTTTCATTTATTATTAGGCTCATTCTTATATTATTTGGCCATTTAGCATTTCTGGATACAGCGATTCGAGTTAACAAAAGTATTAATTTAGTGAAGAAAAATATAATATTTTACATAGATAAAAAATTGAGTGTTGATTGTCAGGTTTTTTAATTCTTAAGGTATAATTTTGAAATAAGAGTGTTACTGCGCAAAGAAAATGTATGAAATGAAATGGTTCTTGTTGGTTATCTTCGAGCTAAGAAAACCATTCAGAAATTTATAGGTGTCTAAAATAGATAAATATATTCTAGAATAATACGGCATATTGCTCAATAACGTTTGATTGACTTCAATCTGTTTATTCATAAAATTCTTTTCGATAAAATTTCTAAAATGTACAATAGTTTTCTTGAGAAATTTCCACAAGTAACAAAATCTAGTTTCATAGAATAATGTAAAAAATAATTCATCCAGTTTAAATAAACCAGCTTTATTAGAATATTAGAAATTAATATTCCGTGGTACAGACCCCTTTTTAACAAATTATTAACATCCGCCTGAAACTTCGTAAATAGCTTCATCTGATCGTAGCCTAAAAATATATTATTTACGAATATTGCTTTCCACTTGAATAATAAGATAATTTGAGCACAAAGTCGAGAAAAAAGGTGGCCTTAAAAAATATATAGTCGTTTGGCATGACCTACACCCCCATATTGTCAAAATAACGAAAGTAGTAACATTCGTGGCGACGCTACGTTCCTCTAACACTACTTCAACTTTCTATTAAAAAGGAATACTTTTATGAGACTCAATGAAAAAGGACTCCTTTCGGACAATGATTGCATTGACTTCTTCTTCTCTTAAACATTGGCAAGAAAATATGTTAAAGTATCGATTAAACAACAAATAAGTAAAAGGGGGAGGGGTCTATTTCGATTCACAATAACATAATTATTTTATAGAACCGTCCTCCAATCAAATTGAACAGACCCCTTTTTATCAAATTATTAATATCCGGCTGAAACTTCGTAAATAACTTCATCTCATCGTAACCTACAAATATTTTATCTACGAAAAATTTTATAATCGGGGTGTTTTCAATCTGGATGTCTGCAAACTTTGTATATTTAATTAGGTACTAAAAACTCGTAAATACCCATTTTCTTTCCACATTTATCGTGAGACAACTTGAGCAAAAAATCGACAAAAAAAGTGGCTTTAAAAAATATTGAGTCGTTTGGCCCTAACCTCGTTATTTTGAAAATTTGGGGGTGTAGGTCATGTAGATATTTTTTAAGGCCAACTTTTTTTCTCGACTTTGTGTTCAAGTTATCTTATAATTAAGGTGGAAAGCAAATGGGTATTTACGAGTTTTTAGTACCTAATTAAATAGACAAAGTTTGCCGACCTCCAGATTGAAAACGAGCCAATTCCAAGAATTTTCGCAAATAAAATATTTTTAGGTTACGATAAGATGAAGCTATTTACGAAGTTTCAGCCGGATGTTAATAATTTGATAAACAGGTGTCTGTAAACGGACTATTTTTCAATGAGTTTCACAATTTTTTTTCATTTTTTAACGAAACGTTTAAGTGGAGTTAGAGGAAGGACTGTTGGTACAAGTGACCAATATTTTGCAATATTTATATCATAAAACCTATGGTTTAGATAAGAAAGACTTGATCCGGAAGTAATGTTTCTAGGTCTAACAACGTTGTGCAACGAATGATTCGACCGTGATCACGCTCAACTGCACGGATTTATCTCTTATACAGAATCGATCCATGACAAGTAAGACAGAAAAATAATTATCAACAGTCGAACTCGTACCTGGACACAGTAGTAGCACATTGTTTTCATAAGTAATAATAATTTATCGATATTGGTACTGAAGTTTGCTTTGGAATGAATGATTTAGTTATACAAATATTACTGAATACTAATGTCATAATTAAAAAATACCTTAAAATATTTCAAACCGAGAAATCTAAGGCAAAAATGGTCTTTCATACTGATGGTTGGTAATTATTAATAGTTGAATAGGTCAGTTTTACAACTAACCGAAGATAAATATTGTATTTTCTTTGGCAATAAACCTCTGTTATTGGCACACTGTCTACTTATTGCTGCCAGCTTCGACAATGAGTCAATTAGACGATACATTTCACTCTAAGGTTAAACGATAAAATAAATATGAGGAGTTGGTCGGGTGTGCGGTCAAATAAATACTAAATTTAAAAAACAGTATTTTTAATTGTTACGTCGACGTTTCGACCCACCATCTTCATCAGTTTGCCAATAACAAGCCAATCCAACTGCCAGTCTATCAACTGCTTCCTGCAGTGCCTGATGAAGACCAGCAAGGTGGGTCGAAACGTCGGCGGAGTAGCAATTAAAAATAATATTTTTTAAAAATTTAGTATTTATTTAACCGCACCCCCCAGACCAACTCCTTCTCATATTATATCACGTCACCGTCTCTACATCATGATAAAATAAATATGTTTTGAATGCTGAATTCAAAATTCAAACTCTTCAAAATCCAAGATCATGGAAACATATTCACTTGCGACATTCTGTTAACAAACGAGAAACAATTCAGGTTTAAACATCATGGAACCAGGAACTAAAGTACTCATCCCAGAAAAAGGCTTAAATGTAAATTACAAATATGCATGTAATTCTAAATAAAATGAACCTTGTCTACCATTAAAGAGCCGCTGATTTTAGGAATAGAAAAAAGAATATGAGACCAGAAACCTGTAGGATCGAAACGGGAAATATATAGAAAAATATCTGATGTGCCCACTCACACGACTTTCCTACCTATTTCAGAAAAGTTTGTATATCTTTACATATGTTCATGAAGAAACAAAAATAATTGAACTAGATACATTTTCCTGAAAATTTATCAAACGTAAGATTTGAGCAATGTAAACCGGCTTAAAGTAGATCAGTGTACAAATTTCAAAACTTCCTAATATTGATGATCACCAACTTTTTGCCTTAACTTAGTATTGTGAAACAATAATTTCTTTTTAAAAAAAGAGGAAATAGTGAAGATTGTGTAATGCGGGCAACAGATTTTCTCACTTAGTCATCTTTATTCTCTCATTCACCCCATTCTAACACCAGGATATGAAACCGTAATCTTACATTGAAAATTGAATAGCCGTAACTTCGTTAATATTTGTCCAAAATGAACGATTTTTATATGGCTTTATAGGAAAAATTCACTACCTGAAACAGGGGGCTCTGAAATATATAGATCCGTCGAAAACCGCATATCGGAAATTTGACCCGATCGCAATACCTTCCTTACTTTGCATAGGTAGGAAACTAAAAATGTGGAAAAATGTTTTATTTTTTAAATTTGTATATATGTGGGTTCAAACATGTAAAAATAAAAAAACGGAACACCTTGAGGGCGGGGTGGCCTGAGCTCGAACTCGAAAAACCGAATTTGAATTTCGGTGCTGGAAGGACTTTTAACTCTTGCATTAATTTACCCACCCTCTTCTCTGGCAAAAAAAATCGCATAGCCGAAAAGTCGAGAAAGAGTAGGAAAATAAGAAAAACATAGGCTGTGTTCCTCAGTCTTCGCTATCCTCTAAGTCAGCCATTTTGAAGCACGCTCAGATTGGTAGATAATGTTCATTTTACTTGGAATTACATACACTTTTATAATTTATCCTCAAACCTTCTCCTTCCATGAGTATTATATTTAGTCCCTGACTCCAGAGCGGACGGACGGACATTTCATTCACATGCCCACATGCTCCAGAACTACCACAGAGGATTCTATAACTGAGGGATATGTCTTGTGCAGACTCTTTCACATCGGCAGCTCCATGCTACTTCTACCTGGAGACAACCTCACAGACCCCTTAAAAGTTGGCGAAGGAGTCGGTGACCATTGTAAACGCCTTGGAGGTCGCACAGACCACTTCTTTATTTTTTCACGATCCACTGTCGGCATCGAACCTTCCAGCGAATGAGTCAGGTATCTTTCAATCCATGGATCGTAAGGATCTAGAAATGATCCAATCAGTTTTATTGTAATTAATATATCATATCCTATCATATCCATAATATATCATATAATACTTGGTAAGAGAAAGTACATGCATTTCCTACTATGGACGTAGGAATTTCAATACATACATTTTTTTTTTATTCAATCATAATTAACTGTTTATTTATATATATATATATATATATATATATATATATATATATATTATTCAGAAAGTTTTTTTTTATGAAATGAACTAATTCTATCTCTTTTTCGTTCTTCATTTCTCAAAGTGTATGTTTATGTTGTTCAACCCTAGTATATAGTTTTGTTCATAGTTCAAGTGATTCGTTCATAGTTTTAATTGTTTTGTTCATAATTTTAAATGCTCTGTACATAGTTTTATCTGTATTGTATATAGCTTGTGCACCTAAGGTTTTCTTTACTTTTTATTTTATTTTATCAATTTTATTTATTGTTTCAATCGTTTAGGCCAGTAATATTCTATTATTTTCTACATTATCGTTATTCTGAAGGGACTTAGTCCCAGAATAAAGTGTTTTTTTTCTATCTATCTATCTATCTATCCCTTAAGAATAAGCAATATAAATAACCTATTAATTTCATTAATGTTTATTTCATGCTCGAAGATATTTGAGGGTTAACTATTATCTTAAATATTTATAGACAAAAATAATACATTTATATTACCTTCTTACGATGTTGGTGATAGAGTTGAACCTAGATAAAATCAAATATTTCCAAGCTGGTTGATTGTGTGGTCAGAAATAATACAAGATGTTGCTATTAATTAACTATACCATACTGATGATGTAGAAAATTTTATTTTGATATCATACATGTATACTTACTTACACCTTCAATATATATATATATATATATATATATATATATATATATATATATATATATATATATATATATATATCGTCTATCGTAAAAACGAAATTTTTAAGGAATAAATAATACTGACTTCCTATGGGAACTACTTTATCAGTGAATTCTACTTTTATTTAAATGATCGGGATCGAGCTTTAATTTTTATATATTTTTTTTTTACTGATCATTCCAACCATTCTTCTTTTCAATTATTCTTTACTGTCAACCATTCACAATTAAAAAACATTATAGTTAAATGAGAATGTCAGAAGTCTTAGGTAGCGCGAAACTGTGGAAGGACATATCATATAACATTCCAGGACAATGGAGTGTTTATATATATAATTTAGTTGGCCCGTTGGGGAGGTGATGTGGTGATAAGAAACCAGAGCATCTGTAAAGTGGAGCAGGTCAGAGGTTCGTAAATGCTCTTCTATTTTAGCGTTGGATGAATCAGTCCGAGGCAGTAACATGCCGTAAATAGAATCAACATCAACATCGTCCCTCACCTGGGGGCTTGTTTTAACCTCAGGTTCAAACTTTGGTTAAAAAAGAAAAAAAATATGATTTGATAGGTCTGAAATCGCTATGTTATGAACGCTTCGAACGACCTTCTGATTGGACGGTTCTGTCGTGGGGTTCAAGGGTAGCGAGTTGCTTGCATAGATTCTCGGATTAAGGTTACCTTGAACATTTAGAGTCGACAGCTCAAGATAGCATGATTATTGCATGAAAGTAAAACTGTGACAGTAACAGTGACAGTATCTATACAGTAAGAGGATTGGTGTATTGATATTATCATAAACATAGGAGGAGACTTGAGAGGAGAGGTGAGGGAAACGATAGCCCCAATAAAAATATTAAGGTGGTGGGAATATTGTTTGAGCCTCCCCCAAATAATTTGAGATTAAAAAAATTAACGTTAGTAATCGATAAGCATGAATGAATAAAATAGATATATAGATAGATATTTCATTTGTTTTTGGGGGGTTTCTTCATACAAATAGAGCCTAGCTTGGCTATTGCACAATAATATGGTTTTACAAATTACATACATATCATTTAAATATAAATAAAAATTAAAAACATAAAACAATTACTGTATAATTATAGTTATATGAACCTGTTACTATGATAGAAACAATAAAAAAAAATTATATATAAAAACAAAATATTATATTTAAGATAAACTAAAAACAAACACTTAATAGAACATGGTCTATGATCAACAATTTTGTTTATGCACTTTGTATACTCCCATCATATAATAGTAAATTTTATTTAACTTATCTATACAACCTATATTCAATATGGTTTCGATGTTGTGGTTATCAGAAGATTCTGAGATGAAGTTTTGAAGGAATTTTTGTCTATAGTCATTGTATGCTGGGCATTAATCAGTAGATAAATTGCCTAATTGATGTAGATAAAATATGTAAACTGAAATCGATTATGAGAATAGTAAAAGTTTGGTATGTAATTATTTTATGACGACCTAAATGCTACTATTATTAAAATTTTCATTTATATTCCAAGATAAATATAGCAACATATTCTAGGACTTTATGATTTGTTTACCCCTCCATTTTCATGTGATATTTTTATCACAATTTTTCTCGGCAGAGTTGAAAAAATATATTTAATGGATATAAGTATTTATAGATATTAGTGCATAACTAATTCGACTATGAAAACATTGTATTTTTAATTTGTGATTGTACAACCTAAGAAATCTGAAAGAATGAAAAGAGATGTTATCACTGTCGGCCTTAGAGAAATTATTCAGAGGGGCCTAGATGTATGGGGGTACCTACCTCCAACTTATTTGTTATTTAAAAAAAAAAGAGTATGAGAACAATTAATTTTAGATTATTAACAAAGCAGCTCAATTAGAGACATAATTAAAGAAATATAATTCAAATATTACTTTATATAAAATAACTTAAGAAAAAATTTAATTTTTTGGGGAGATTAAAGTCATTGCTTAGGGGAGGGGGCGCAAAGGTCTAATGACGGCATTAGATATTATATTTATATTATAATTATTTACTATTTTTTTTCTAAATTGTTCATAATACCTAATGCCACTAATTCGATCTGATGAAATTAGATGGTTCAATCTCGATTCATGCAGTTCCGTTTACTTCTTATGCTTAGGTGTATGACTGTTTTGCTATAAAACAGTTTGTTGTACTACAAAAAAAAAATCTGATGTCTCCACTCACACGACTTTCCTTCCTATTTCAGAAAAGTTTTTATATCTTTAAATATGTACATCAAGAAACAAAAAAAATTAATTAGATTTTTTTCTTCCTGAAAATTGATCAAAGAAAAGATTTGAGTACGAATTATTTGATAAACTGAAGCAATGTAAACCGGCTTAAGGTGGATCAGTGTAAAAATGTCAATACTCTCTAATATTATTGATCAAAAACTTTTTTCCATAGCATAATTTTGTCAAACAATAATTTCTGTTAAAAGTAGAGGAAATAATGAAGCTTTTGTTATGCGGGCAACAGATTTTCTTACTTTCACTAAGTTTTTTCTCTCATTCATCCCTTTCTGACACCGGGATATTTATCTTACATTGGAAATTGAATAGATGTAACTTCGTTAATAGTTGTCCGAAATGAACGATTTTTATATAGTTTTGTAGGGAATTTCATTACCTTTCAAAAAAACTGAAACGTATAGATCCGTCGAAAACCGCATATCGGAAATTTGACTCGATCGCAATATTTTCCTTACTTAGCATAGTCAGGAAAATAAAAAAGTACGTGCTTAGCAAATATTAAATGAAGACTGATATTGAAACCTAAATTTTATTAATAAAGAAGGTAGAAAGTTTTATTTTAGAGATCAAACAAAAAAGGTGTAATTTGTTTTCAGTCCGTTTGCACAATTGATCTCAAAATCAGGCGAAAGGAATTTGCTCAAACTTTTAGGATTATGAGCTGTTTTTGGACCAAAGCTCCTGAACTAAATCTTACAACGTTAAATTTTTTTGTTATTTTTAAGTGGGTATATGTTAGAAAAATAAGAAGAAAATGAATGATTTAACATGTTCCGTCGTTTTTAAAAATAGTGATTCAGAAACCGCGGAAATAAGGAAACAGTAGTATTTTGAAGGCGAGAGAGAAAAAAAAATAAGAGAAATAAATGTAAAAGTTATTTTGAATCGGATGAATTATCATCGGCCTTGCTTCATAAAAATATAAGATTGAGCCCAGGCCAGCTCTTTTCATCGAATCTATTTCTACACTGAATCACCCCCCTGTCTCGAATATAATCCCCTAATTTTCTGATTCGGTTTGGGGCTTAGGTTTCCAAAAAAATCGTCTATCGGTTTTGGTATGTTAAAAAATGGTATTGATGCCAACTGCAACCAAGTTGGCAATGACTGGGTTCAAAATACAAAAATATTCAACTTCAAAGCTCCTTTTAGAATTCTTTAATGACGCATATTTGAACACATTTTTAGAATAACCTTAAATGTTCAATTGTGTAATTTCATCATTGATAATTATCAGTTTTAAAAGAATGAGCAGCAATACATCATCAATAAGGTTTTATTATCTCCTATCAGTGACACGGTTGAGAGAATAGCGCAGAGATCTCTTGGAGTCCTTTCTTCCCCCTCTATAGTTAAAGGGACAAGCCTTAGGGTTCCTGCATGATTTTATATATTGATTATAGCTATGACTGTGTCTTTAATTATCTTTAGGTTATTTTATTTTTTATTGTACATAGTTTTTAATTATTATTTTACTTTTGTTAATTTTATATTTTCTGTATATATGGTGCGAATGTTTTCATATATCACTATAATCTATTGTCCACGTGACAGATTGTTATATTTCTAAATAAATAAATAAGAATAAAAAATTAACTCTTAACTTTGAAATGGATATTTTGATACTGTTAGTATAATAGATCTTATGTAAAAATTGAGTTTTTTTACAGAAAAGTATAAAAACTGATTATTTCTTTATGATTTATTATTATAATTTCATAATTTATTTCTCTCTCCTATTGTCCATATTAACAGGCTACTAAATTTCACCTTTAGCACAAATAAAATTAACATGAAAAATCATCACATAAGATCTTTTGTACT